AATCCCTTAATAAATGTGCTTTTGTAGTAGTACATATTATTCTATTTCACATTCAAAATTGTTATCACAAACTATTTAACACAGTGAAAAAAAAGGCAATTAAACAACTTTTAATCTAATTTTTTTCATTGTGTGCCGTCGAATTTCGAAATCGTTAAAAGTGTGCCGCAACAAAAAAAAGGTTGAGAATCACCGCTCTGAGGTTTATACTACTCACATTACATGAGTTCATCAAGCAATAAAATAAAATAATGCTTTTTATTGCATAAAATATAAGTAAGCTGATTTCAGTAAGTTAAAACAATGAAAATCTTACATTCTTATAAACATTATAATTTATTTTACTGTTTAAGAAATAATTTAGAATTTCTAATACTCATATACTCTTATTATAGCCCAGAAACTTGTCTCCTTGGAAACTTGCCTAACACAGAAATTTACAGATGCATAGAAAAGTATCCTAATGTAAGCAATTATACCTATTTATTAAAATTTATATTGGAAGCAAATTTAAATTTATCAGTTTAAAAATTATTTATATTTTATTTCAGGTAGTTGAAATTCCAGGAATAAAGATTTTCCACTTTGGAGCTTCCATTTATTTTGGAAATAGGGAATATTTTCGCTCGCAGATTTTTCATCATGTCAGTTTTCAAGAGAGGTAAAATAATTTTATTTTAGAAAACGGTGACATAATTCTCAACAATGCTATATAAGATATATAAAATGCATTTTTAATTAAAAAAAATAATTCAGAATTTATAATTTAACAAGAAAATGACACTAAACGTAACATACAATCTAGATATCAAAAGAATCTTTTTTTAAATAGATTTTGAGGCTATGAAAGCAATAATTCCTCAGCAGACCTGCCAACCTTTAAAATTTCAAAAGCCTGACACTTTTTATGACTATGGCATAGGGTAAAAAACAATAAACATTAAAAATATAATAAAACCACACATTATTTAAATTGCAATCATATAAATAACTTTTTTACCCCTAAAAACTACTAAATAATAAATTAAATCAATTACTCAATCTGTTTTAAAAAAATTTATTAACTTTTTGTAAAACCCTTATATAAAATATTTTTCTGATTCTTTCTAGTTTACCTTCCGAGTGAACAAATGCTCCAGAGTTTTAAATGACGAAAGAAAAAAAACAAAAAAAAAGTCTGCACTTCTGTTATGTAACTAAATATTCTCTAGCAGGTCATATTTTTGTGATAAATGCTTGATGCCGCCAGTTATAACTTTTCCGGCTACTTGATTTTACCCCATTTTCCATCAACCCTCTTACAGCAATAAGAAAACATTTTAAATATTTTTTACACTGTAAAGCTCAAAACTAGTTTCTGGAATATCAAGCTCGGTCTTCCTAAACTTTCACAAAAAAGAAGAAAAAAACCCAGGTGTTTGAAAAGGAAATAACTAAAATGTTATTACGAAATTACAAATTAACTATTATAGCATGAATTACCATATTATATGTTGCAAATGCAGTGCTTTATATATGCTTAGAGCAGTGTTATACTTTACTTTGGGTTTATCTAACATTTTAAAAAGGTTCTAGAAGAAAAAAAAATTACATATAAAAAAAAAGGTTCTAAAAATAATTAACGATAAACAAAATTACCTATTTTAATATGTTGTAAATGCAGTGCTTTATATATGCTCAGAGCAGTGTTATACTTTATTTTGGGTTTATCAGACATTTTAAAAAAGTTCTAGAAAAAGAAATTACATCTAAAAAAAAAATGGTTCTAAAATTAATTTAAGATAAACTAAATATACTGGAATTATAAAATCGTTGATACGGAGGAAAGTTTTGGGGACTGTATGTAAACCATGCAGGGGTCCTCTGATTCATACACAATGAAAAGAGGGAAAAAGTCTGAAA